GAGATAGAGAGAGAGAGAGAGAGATAGAGAGAGATATAGATAGAGAGAGAGATATATATAATAATAGAAGAGAGAATATATAATAATATAAGAGAGAGAGAATAATAATATATATAGAGAGAGAGAGATATATATAAGAGAGAGAGAGATATATATATATAATAGAGAGAGAGATATATAAGAGATGAGAGAGAGATATATATAATAGTATAAGAGAGAGAGAGATATATATAGAGAGGAGAAGAGAGAATAAGAAATATAGAGAGAGATATATAAATATATAGAGAGATAGAGAGATATATATATATATATAAGAGAGAGAGATATAGAGATGAAGAGAAGATAGAGAGAATAAGAAAGATATAGAGAGAGAGAATTAAATAGAGATATATAAATATAGGAGAGAGAGATATATATATAGAGAGATATATAAGAGAGAGATATATAATAAAAAGAGAGAGAGGAGATATAATATAGAGAGAGATATATATAAGAGAGAGATATATATAGAGAGAGATATATATAGAGAGAGAGATATATTAATATAGAGAGATGAGAGATATAATATATATAGAGAGAGAGATATATAATATAGAGAGAGAGAATATATATATATATAGAGAGAGAGTATATTATATATAGAGAGAGATAATTATATGAGAGAGAGAGATATATAATATATAAGAGAGAGAGATAAAATAATATATAATAGAGAGAGATAAATAATATATATAGAGGAGAGATATATAATAAAGAGAGAAGAGAGATATATAATAGAAGAGAGAGAGATATTATATAGAGAGATATATATAGAGAGAGATATATATAGAAGAGAGATATATATATAATATAAGAGAGAGAATATATATAGAGAGAGGAGTATATATATAAGAGAGAGATATATATAGAGAGAGAGATATATAAAGAGAGAGAGAGATATATAAATATAGAGAGAGATATATATAGAAGAATATATATATATAGATATATATATATATATATATATATATAGAATATATATATATATATATATATATATATATATATAGATAGAGAGATATATATATATAAGAGATATATATATAAGAGATATATATATATATAGAAATATATATATATATATAAATATATATATATATATATATAGAGAGATATATAGATAGATAGATATGCATGATATCTATGTAGAAAGTACTTGAGGGCCTCATCTCAAATCTACACACTACCATAACATACTGGAGTGGAGATGGGGAAGGAAGTGCAGAATGAACTCGATGCAAAACAGGGGTGCTGTGGGCACAACAGAGCACTGTACCATTTGTCTCTCAGTCTAGTAATTAAAGTTAGTTTTAAGCTGCCCAAAATGCCTTGCATAACAAGGGGCTTTTTTGTAAAGTAGTTTATGTATGTTAGTTACCCAAATTACATAATGTACAGTATGCCACTTTATAGAAATAAAATTGTTTGTACAGTATCCGAAATGAGTTTCTTTTTTTTTTATTATTTTCATTTACATACTCCTAGGTAATAGGTTAGTAGACAGCAACTGCCCAGGGTGGTACTACCTACCTGCCAAGCGAGTGTAAAACAGAAGCCTGTAATTGTTTTACACGATGGTAGGATTGCTGGTGTCTTTTTTTTTCTGTCTCATATATGTGCAAGATTTCAGGTACGTCTTGCTACTTCTACTTACACTTAGGTCATACTATACATACATGTACAAGCATATATATACACACACCTCTCTGGGTTTTCTTCTATTTTCTTTCTAGTTTTTGTTCTTGTTTATTTCCTCTTACCTCCATGGGGAAGTGGAACAGAATTCTTCCTCCGTAAGCCATGCGTGTTGTAAGAGGCGACTAAAATGCTGGGAGCAAGGGGCCAGTAACCCCTTCTCCTGTATATATTACTAAATGTAAAAGGAGAAACTTTCGTTTTTCCTTTTGGGCCACCTCGCCTTGGTGGGATACATAAGAACATAAGAAAGAAGGAACACTGCAGCGGGCCTACTGACCCATGCGGAGCAGGTCCATGTCCCCCCCCCCTGGATTAGCCCAGTGACCCACCCAGTCTGATCACCTCCACTCAAGGATGGAGCACTGCACCAGACCCAGCAGCACAAGCTAGTCAGGTCCAGCTCACACCCACCCACACCCACTCATGTATTTATCTAACCTATTTTTAAAACTACACAATGTTTTAGCCTGAATAACTGTACTTGGGAGTTTGTTCCAATAATCCACGACTCTATTACCAAACAAGTGCTTTATTATATCCTTCCTGAATCTGAATTTTTCCAACTTGAAACCATTGCTGCGAGTCCTGTCTTGGCTGGAAATATTCAGCACGCTATTTACATCCCCTTTATTTATTCTTGTTTTCCATTTATACACCTCAATCATATCCCCCCTAATTCTACGCCTTTCGAGAGAGTGCAGTTTCAGGGCCCTCAGTCTATCCTCATAGGGAAGATTTCTGATACATGGGATCATCTTTGTCATCCTCCTCTATACGTTTTCCAGAGCATTTATATCCATTCTGTAATACGGTGACCAGAACTGAGCAGCATAGTCTAAATGAGGCCTAACCAAGGATATATAGAGTTGAAGAACAACCTGAGGACTTTATTTTTTATACTTCTTGATATGAAGCCAAGAATTCTATTAGCTTTATTGCGAACACTAATGCACTGTTGTCTTGGTTTTAGATTACTGCTAACCAGAACTCCTAAATCCTTTTCGCAATCAGTAGTATTAAGATCTACATTACAGTGGACCCCCGGTTAACGATATTTTTTTCATTCCAGAAGTATGTTCAGGTGCCAGTACTGACTGAATTTGTTCCCATAAGGAATATTGTGAAGTAGATTAGTCCATTTCAGACCCCCAAACATACACGTACAAACGCACTTACATAAATACACTTACATAATTGGTCGCATTGGGAGGTGATCGTTAAGCTGGGGTCCACTGTACAGTGGACCCCCGGTTAACGATATTTTTTCACTCCAGAAGTATGTTCAGGTGCCAGTACTGACCGAATTTGTTCCCATAAGAAATATTGTGAAGTAGATTAGTCCATTTCAGACCCCCAAACATACACGTACAAACGCACTTACATAAATACACTTACATAATTGGTCACATTCGGAGGTAATCGTTATGCGGGGGTCCACTGTATTTTGTTTATATGTGGCATGGTTATTTAACTGTCCAACATTTAGAACTTTGCATTTGTCAATATTAAACTGCATCTGCCACTTCTCCGACCATTGCATCAGTCTATTCAAATCATCCAGGAGTGCTCTAGTGTCCTCATTAGAATGAATTGGACGGCCTATTTTGGTGTCATCAACAAATTTGCTTATGTCGCTATTTATTCCCTTATCTATGTCGTTTATGTAAATTGTGAACAACAATGGGCCCAACACTGACCCCTGAGGAACACCGCTTGTGACGTGCCACCATTCTGATTTCTCCCCATTTATGCATACTCTCTGCTGTCTATTTGTCAGCCATGCCTCTACCCAGGGAAAAATTTCTCCTCCTATTCCGTGTGCCTTAAGTTTCCTCAATAGTCTCTGGTGTGGAACTCTATCGAAAGCCTTACTGAAGTCCATTTTACCCAATACCCATATTCATTACCATGATCTACCTCCTCAAACACCTTATGAAAAAAGTTAGTAAATTCGTAAGACAGGAACGCCCCTTTGTAAAACCGTGTTGAGATTCATTAATCAGTCTGTGCCTGTCAAGATGGCTACGAATTGCTTCGGCAATTATTGATTCCATAAATTTTCCCACTATGGCGGTAAGGCTTATTGGTCTATAGTTTGTAGCCAAGGACCTGTCACCTGTCCTGTAAATAGGTACACCTACCATCCGACTTACGACCTGCTCGACTTACGACCACTCGACTTACGACCGTGTTTTTTATGATAAATTTCTGGGAAATAAACAACTATTTGTGTTGTACACAGTGTTTATCCTAAACCTTACAGTATAAAATACAGTACTAACAACATGAAAAGTAAATGTAAAGTAAAACATGAAATACCAAAATAAAACAATAAAATAAAGTCATTACAAAAATGTTTTGTTGATATTCAGTAGTAAATTTCAACTTACGACCATTTCGACTTACGACCGGTTTCTCGGAACCGAACTCGGTCGTAAGTCGGATGGTAGGTGTATTACATTTGCCATTTTCCACTTATCAGGCACTATGCCAGTTTGTAGTGATATGTTAAAAAGATTAGCCAAAGGTATGCTAAGTTCCTCTTTATATTCCTTTAACACCCTTGCAAACAGTTCATCAGGGCCTGGGGATTTGTTAGGTTTTAGTTTCTCTATTTGTCTGAGGACCATGTCACTAGTTACCACAATTGTACATAGTTTATTATCATCCTGTTCTACATAATCTATTATTTCAGGAATATCGCTAGTATTTTCCTGGGTGAAAACTGAGAGGAAGTAGGTATTTAGAATTTCACACATATCCTTATCACCGTCAGTGATCTGACCAGAGTTACTCTTAAGTGGGCCAATCTTGTCGCTAATCTTACTTCTGTATACCTGACACGGCCGGTATGTTGAAAGAAGAAAGATTTACATACTTAATTGAATTCAAACTGTTCTGAATAATTATACAGTGAACTTTCATGATAGAGTAGGTAAAAATTAGTTCTTTCTTAGGCTAAAGTTATGGCAAATTCATGTTAAATTTATGTGTAGATAAGCTACACATAACTTTACTTAAATTATTGAATAAACAGTTAGTTTTAGAATGTGAGAAAGACACTCATATTCACAGTGAAATTTTCTTGCAATGTTTTGACCTTGATCAGCCTTTATCAAGTACGTAGGGTGAAGTATAATGAAGGTTTTATTGCAAATATAGCATCTTTCTTACTGCCTTTTGGCTTACACCATTGTTCATTGAGTTTTAGAATCTGCAATTTCTTTATGTATATAGTACTTAAAATAAAAATCCTACTACAGGGACAATGGGAGTGACGAGAGCTGGTTTTGTCGCAGTGCTGCTGGCTGTGGCAGTGTATGCTAATGAGACTGATGAGCATGATCTACAGTCCCTTAGTAATCCAAATGCAAGTGACAGAAAATTAGATGAACTGAATGTTGCAGCAGAACAACTGGCAAAAACCCCCTTGCCAAGATTACATGAATATGAAGACCATGCTGAAGTGAAAATGCAGGTTAGTAAGAGATCAGGAAAAATACAGAGATAGAAATATTGAGATATTGATTATTATTAATAATTAGCTTGTTTTATTTGATTTGGTGGTTATGTGGCTTTTTTTTTTACTAGCATTTTGCCCTGAGTGCATCACATTATGCTGAGAGAGAGAAGCAGAGTAAAGGAGAAAAGGGAGAAAGAGAAAAGAGATAAAAAAAGGTAGGAGAGAAGTAAAGACAAGAGGTAAGGAGTAGAGAGGGGTGGATAAGGGAAGGAGGTTATGAAATGGGGAGAATGGGAAAGGGGGAAAAAAAGGAAATCTGTTTCACTTTATTGTGCACGTAAAAAGTGACCAACTCAGAACATGAGAATGTGCTTCTAAAATTGTGCGTAACTGAGACCAATATATGGCTAATTCAGGAAATTCCAAAATTAATATTAAGTAAGCTTTGGCTGAGAGTCGCAAGAAAATCGAGATAAACATGACTTTCAATATTCTTTAAAATAATTTAATCATGTTTAACTATCACACGGTCATTTGACAGATGTCTGATGTGCAAGAAAACAGAAAAGAAAACCCAAGAAGAAAAGGAAAAAATTCGATCAAGAAGTGACAACAATAAAGTCCCAGAGCCCTTCCTTCACCTTGGAGTGAAGATTGATAACTAAATAGTATAGTGCAAACTTTTTTAGTCCCTCATTTAAAGAATTTTTTTTGACATCACTTTACAACATCTAATTCAGCGCAAGAATTTTTTTATTGCAAAATCTTTATTTCATTTGCGGGTATATTTTGGCTCTGGAATAATGTAGACTTTTTTAAATGAATACTTTAATTTAAATGATCAATACTAGAAATTTCTTTTTAAATATTTAATTTATGTGCCATTATTAAAATTTTTTTAATTTTTTGAAGTTTACATATTCTTTAATTTTTATATTTTTTACTACTTTGTCTCTTTTGTTTAGTGATTTTTGTAATTTTCTCTATATTTTTAAACAGAATTCGAAAAACCCTTTTAGACCCGACCTTACTTTTATCATTAATGATATTGCACTGTACTTGTTTTGATGTTTTATGGGTTTTAAAATTACAGTGTACAGTGGACCCTTGTTATTGTAATTAATCCCCCTTTCCCGAGAGTGCGACTAAAGCCAAATCGACATTTTTGAAATTTATTTTCCCCCCCGAAAAATAAAGTAAATCCAATTAAACCCTTCCAGACCCCAAAGTATTAAAAACCCCTTTTTGGTCCAAGGGCCCAAATCTGGAGTCACGCACCAGTGTCCAAGATATTTAAAAAAAAAAAATTTTTTTTTTTTTCTTATGAAAACGTAGAGAACTTTTTTTGAAGGTAAAAAACAAAAAGTACGAAAATTGGTGAAAATTGACGAAATTATGCTCTCCGAATTTTTATGTGTCAGGATATTTACGAATGGCGATTTTTGCCCACTTGATCCCTTTTAGGCCAATTTCATTATTTCCCCAAACCAAAATTTTTAGTATTTCACTAGTATTATTCATTCATCGTTGACACAAAAAAATCGCCCAAATCAAATTTTTAACTCAAAATAAAGTGATCGGGAATTGTTAATTTGGCCAAATTTTAAAACAAGTTCAAAATATTCCAATTTCAAAAAAGGGTCCAAATAACAATGTAGGCATTCCTGGCACTAAACTAACATTTCCTCTGTTCATTATTATGTTTTGAGGTTTTACAAATAAATTCCATTTTGATTTTTTATTCACATAATGAATTTTATTTCACACCAAAAAATAAAGATTTACTGTTATGCAATACTGTAATAATTGTATAAATATCATCACCATATTTGTGAATGTATATTAGACCCACCAGCTGAGTGTATTAGACGTGTGAGGTCGTTTTGTTTACTCTTGAATATCGGCAAAAATTTAACATTTCTGCTACTTTGAGCTAAGTTTCAAGCCATTTCCAATGCAAAAACCAATCAAAATCACTCTATTTCTGAAATATGCCCTTCCTTCTATAAAATGAGACCAAGAAATCGCAAATACAACTAAAAAAAAACATACGAAAAAACACTGCAAAGTTGCTGTTTTAATCGAAAAATCATGATTTCATTTTTTTTCTCTCATTATGCACAGTGTGCTGCAGGATCTGTTTTATGTGGTGCACACATACCACATAGATGTATTCTCTCATATCTAGGCCCAAATGTAACACTCACAGTTTATCAGAGTGAGCTGAGCTCATGGCGTAGATCTACGGTTTGGACCCTGAACGTAAAGCCGTAGATCTACGGGACGGACCCTGAAAGGGTTAAAAAAAATTTTATTACATGAAATATACATTTACCTACACAGAAAACAATGAGACATGAAGATTAAAACAATAACATGACACTTACCTCTATTGAAGACTCGTCTTAGTGTATTGAAGATGGGAGGAGGAGAGAGGATGGAGAAATTACTGTTTGGAAGGGGAATCCTCTTCCATAAAGACTTCAGGTACCAAGTCCTTTTCTGGGGTTACTTCCCTTCTTTATTTTTTAATGCCACTAGGACCAGCTTGAGAGTCACTGGACCCCTGTTGCTCAAAAAAGTATTCCAGAGAGGTCTGTTGCTGGAGTATGTTAGGAATTGTGGCAGCGGCAAGGGAGTGTGTTTGGAGACAGGACAAGATAGTCCTTCAATATGACACTAATATCAACTCTACGGTTTATTTATCTAGCACAATTCATCTAATATGACATAATAAACAATATTAATAGCATAGAATGAATAAAATGTCATTACATATGTGACGAGTGTTGTTGTTTGTTGTTGGATGTATAAGGGCCACTGAAAGATAAGCCTTACATAGTGGTGGTGATTGCAGCAGCAGAGGCAGCAGTGTTAGTCAGTAGCCCTATATACCTCCAACACTGGAGGAGTCAGTTTTGTGCTGTCCTTTTTCTATCGATTAATTGCTTAACTTGCTACACTGTTAATGCTACACTTTATCGCTGGCTGGCACTATAGCCTTTATCGCCGCCTGCTGCTTTAGTATCGTACATATCGCAGAATCACTGAAGTAGGCACATTCTCTCCTCTCTCTCTCAGCCCTTTACCAAAGGGCTGGCTGGCACTAATAACTTTTTTGGGCCCATGGTGGCTTATTTAGCAGTTGTAAGTACTACTGGAATGGAATAATACGAAATGCATCGTATGAACTCGTGGGATCATGCTCACAGGCTGATAAACAATGGCACACTGAGTGTTGGGCCACTCTTGCTGTGCAGATGTGTTTGTGATGAATGACTGTTACTGAGCTCAGTGACTGTCACTGATCCAATATTTTGACGAAAAAACGTTACATTTTCCGAATATTACAAAATCCGGCTACTACGATATCCAGGGGTCCACTGTATTAGTAAAATGGGCAACTTTTGTAACTTAGGGAAGCAGAACCCAATACAACCTCTCCTCACTTACTGATATACTTGTTTACCAATGACTTGGACTTAACGACGGGCTCTCTGACCAGTATGCATACCTAAATAATGTATATTAGAGCTGATTTCCTGTATTCTGTTTATTACAATATACAGTACACTACTGTATAAACATTTAAAATGTACCAGAAATGTTATAAATGGTGCAAAAGTGACATTAAAACAATATCAAAGATGGTTGACACACACCCACTACTATTATAGTATGCTCGTTTAGCGATGAATTCGTTTACTGACATGGTCTTATGAACAGAACTCTGTTAAGTGAGGAGAGGCTGTACATTTTTATCTAACACACTGGCCATCTTCCACCGAGGAAGGGCTAACACAAAATGAAGAAACACTTCCATCATCACTCACTCCATCACTGTCATAACAGAAGTGTGCTGATATACTACAGTTCAGATGCCCCTCCAAACTGCAATATCCCAAGCCTTCCATAGGTCAGGCACTGTACTTCCCACTTCCAAAACTCAAGTCTGACTAACCGGTTTCCCTGAAAACTTCATTAATGTTTCCTTCCTCACACTCCACAGCACCCATTATGTCTCTTATTATTAGTAGCAATATATACTGAAGCAGCACTCATTACTCTGCTACAATTTCTGAGTTGCATCATTCCTTAAGTGATCTACTGTTTTCTTGTGCATATTGCATTGTTTCTTCCACTCCTTATAAGGGATTTAATATATCTTGTGTGGTAGCTATATTTTGCATTCCAAACCCCATGCTGTTAATAATAGTTGAAGTACGTATTGCAGAGGTACATAATTTATCTGGAATTGGATATCCATACTCAAAAAAGGCTTGATTTTAAGAAGTGGTGAAAAAAACATTTAATTTAGTGTAGTCTTTATTGGTATTTTTCACAAATGAGTGAGCTTTATCAAGTACAGGTACTTTATCAAGTATATGTACTTGATAAAGCCCATTCCTGAGTGAAATGTTATACTAATAAAGACCTCACTACACTAAGTGCCTTTTCACCGGTAGAGTTTTCTTAAATCTTTTTACTAGAGTGAGAGATGTTAAAGAATGTGTAGAATAAACTCTGAAAGGCAGGGGCTCTGTGGACACAATAATATAACATTATATTAGCATATGCAGTCCCACACTTGTCAGTTTTAAGAACTTTCTTTGGCTCGAAGCCACCCTTAGAAATAATTTCCTCCAATTCAGTAAGGAAATTCCTTTATCCTGTATGGTCAGCAGAAGTACAGTGGACTCTCGTTTTTTGTAAGGCTCGAAAGTCGTAATTTTCGGAAATCTTAACTTTTTTCATCAAAACATTGACTCGTGAATCGTCGTTTGACTCGCAAATAGTCGTTTGTCTGGGACGTGTACACATGGCCTTGAGCCGCCTCACACTCCATTCCCAGCCAGTGTGCCATTGTTTATCAGTGAGTGAGGATGATCCCACAAGTTCATGTGATACATTTCATAATCATTCGTTTTAGTGCTTGCAACTGCTAAATAAGTCGCCATGGCTCAAAAGAAAGCTTCTAGTGCCAGCCCTTTGGTAAAGAATCTGAGAAACATATAATTTAACCCTTTCAGGGTCGAGAGGCCTTCTCTCAGGGTCGAAAATTTTTCGGAAAAAAAAAATTATTTTTTCTTATGAAATGATAGAGAATCTTTTCTCGATCATAATGACACCAAAAGTATGAAATTTGATGGAAAACTTGCAGAATTATGCTCTTGCGAAGTTAGCGGTCTCACCGATGTGTAAACATCGGCGATTCCGCCCACTTTGAGCCC